GTTATTGCAATCGGTACATATGCCTACAGAATTACGATCGACCAACTCGACTTATCGCGCTTATCTTCCTGCGACTTGCACGGCGTCACCGTGACTAGACACTTTTGCATATGAATCGAACATCATGTTGCACAGTACGAGAATACACATACAGAAGTAGGCAATCTTACACACAAAAACATCATGAAAATCTAAACACTATTATTCTTATTGCGTGCCTTCTAGTTATAATGCCGGATAAAACTTTCGAGAGACTTCGCACTGCAATTAAATGATTATCATAAGAATAGTCAAAGATAAAAAATGATTAAAATTGTATATATACATAACTTGTTTATCATCATATATATAACTTTATTATCATATATATAATCATATATATAACTTTATTATCATATATATAATCATATATATAACTTGTTATGCTAGCTAAAACAACTATGTTAAGTTTTCATGAAATACAGTAGAATAAGTATGCAAATAAGTACTTTTTTGTTTTGCATGTCTACCATTACATATATTCTGCGATAAATGAAAATTATTTGTCAGAATTTCTTACAGTTCGAAAACTAGACGCGATAAAGCGAAACCACTTTCGACGTGAATCGCACGAAAAAAAGATACATTTATTGATGTTTCTAGATACTTTATATGTTACAACTGATAAACTTGAATCGGCAGAAATTGTCTCATCAGCTCGGTGCGATCTCTCTGTCCTACAAAAGTCTCAGAAGTGAAAAGTTTCGTTTCAGTTTTTAAATTTCAAATTATAAATCGGCTGCAATCTTGCATTTCTTGCACCGTGCATTTCAAAGCCATTCTTACAAAAATGCACGATCAATAACGATCTGTGATCGTCGTCTGTCATATCACAAGCTTTCCGAAACGAGGCTCCGGATCACTCCCCCGATAGATTTTTTTCAGGAAGAACAATGTATTATTGTTGCGAACTGTACGGTGTATTATTTGCGTGAAATCTTTATGCAAATCGACCAATTGATGCTACTGCAGATATTGGTCGATTTGCATAAAGATTTCACGTAGCGTTTAACGCAGCGTCAAGTTATCGTACACTTCCAAAGCACGATGACGCAGTTGGCAATGCCGGAGCTGGCTTCCAGATAACAAGAAGAGAGTCGCTGTCGATACAGTGGGGTCCGAATGTCGAGAGAGAGAGAGAGAGAGAGAGAGAGACGAGAACAAGGAGGGGATCATAGAGCTGTACAGGCGATAGGCTGGACTTGGCAGTGCTCACGCGAATACAGCTCCGAGAAGAGGTTCTCGCGCGCGACGTCTCTCATCCTCCCCGGAAGATCATCGAGATTCGCATCTGCATCTCGCGCGTTTTTGGATCTGCGCGTTTTCTCCAGTCAGAAAAGCCAAAAGTAATCCTTCGTACTACGAAGGTAAGAGAGGAGGTACGTGGCGAGCGACGAATTCGAGCGATCTGAACTTTCCGAGCATCGTAAACTCCCTCGAATGAACTCTTCCTCGCGAGAAAAAAATCGACAAACCTCGACGAGCAATTCGTCAGTGAGGGAGGGATGTGAGAAAGGGTTCTATCTCTTTATTCAACAATTTCACCTCTCAAATTCGTATGTTCTCCTCGATGACGATCTCCATTCTCGCGAATGGACGTCACGAGGTGGTATTGTCGCGAGTGTACTCGTCCAACGTATTTGTGAAATTTGATTGTAGGAGAATCGCATCTACGTTTCCTCAAAGAGACTAATGCATACATACAAACATACATACAATTTCTCGATGGTAAAAAACAACGAGAGCGAGAGTCGCAGATTTCACTCACGGGGAAATATTTCTCTTTTTTTTGACAATATTTTCCCCGCGGAAAATTATGCAAAGTGCTGAAGTTATGTAAATTTCAGAAAAGCTAATTAATTGATGGTCTCCAATCTTACATTGGCTTGGCCTTCGACTCCTTGGAAATTCCTATTTATTGAAATCGCTGTGTAGCGACTCTCGAATGCATTGCTCTTCGGACTGATAATTAGATATACATAAATATGCATAAATATCCAATTTATCGTGTCACGAGATCAATATCGCGTGACGAATGTTTGTTCGTTACATCCATTGCGTCTCAATGATTTGTCAAATCATCCCAAGACATTATCATTCGAGTATATAATAGATTATATCTTGGTAATAACAATTTTAGCAGCGTGATCGAAAATAACCGTGATAGCCCGTAACCAACTGAACGCCTCGTTATGCAATCACTTTGTTGACCTTGGCATGATTACATTGTGCTCGTACATACCATAACATGCGTGCATGATATAGTATTTCTAGATTTTCTTCTGACATTACTTTCTGATGTAATAAAATAATTGCGCTATGAATAGGCTTTTAATCGAATATCGCGATAGCAATCGTAGCTTCGTCGTTATCGAGAAATTATCGAGAAATTAATCAAAGATCGATCTGAATCGCACTTCTGTATGACGGATACATTCTTTCGCATAATGCAAAATAAAAAAAATAATACGTTGCGTAATATCCAAGTTCCGACGAACGAAACATCTCTAATCAATTCTATTTTTCTGCAGATCGATTACGAGAAATAAATAACATCAACGAGATATGGCGGAACAGACAACGTTCACACGGAGTGAGATCGAGAAGAACAACGACAAAGACAAGGTCCTCATCATCTTGCACGATAAAGTATTTAATGTTCACCGTTTCCTCAATGAGCATCCGGGCGGCGAGGAAGTCCTGCTGGATCACAAAGGCAAGGACGGCTCCGAGGACTTTGACGACGTCGGCCATTCGAAGGACGCAATGGAACTGATGAAAACGTATCAGGTTGGCGTGCTCGTCGAATCGGAAAGGTCAAACAAGCCGCCAAAGAAGGGTTGGGTGGCGGGATATAACACGAAGCAGTCGGAAAAGTACGTTCAGCCCGGCGTACCTTTCTATCTACTCATAGGCGGAATCGCGCTCGTAGTAGCCCTCTTCTTTTACGCTTATTAATCGCTCGGTCCGCTAAAATTAACCCGCGAGAACGCTATGTGTGATAGTGCGACGGATAAGGTGATACGGAACGATGTTAGAAAAAAAGAATATTTTTCCTAATGCCTCTATAATATCCTCAAAGCGTAACTCTGTAATTCATTTCTTCGAATGGAAAAGAAATTTTATTTTGTATATGTATTTAGCAAATATCTTTGGCTGGATTAATGTTAATGTTGTTCATCTTTAAATGTTGTTAAATATCTAAGCCATAATATTTTTGTATATGGATAATGTAAAAATGTAAAATTAGGACTAATCGCTAAGAAGATAGCAATATGTGTGTGTATAATACATATAATGTATATACACATATATATATATAATACATATATGGTACATATATATACATATATATATATATATACTGATTAAAAATTAGCTACTGATATCCTTACATAATTTATTATATATATATATATATATATATACATATATATATATACATATATATATATACATATATAATTATGTAAGAATATCAGTAGCAATTTTTAATAAAAATAGAGAAGGTTTTCATGTCGAGTTAACTGGAATAGTTACATTGGACGTTCTTACGTAAATTACCAAGTAAAACAAATCTTATCTAGAGACTTGTAACGTCAAACCTTGTGTGTAAGTCGTTTTAATTCAAAATAATCTACATATACAAATCAAATAAGTTAAACAGAAATCGTTTTAATAGCACTACGATTGTCAAAAGTTAAACTAAAACGAGGGCAAATTTTGTCAAACATAATAATTAATAATAATAAAACTAACATAAACTAACGTTTAACTTACATGAAAAAACAAGACAGAATATGAAATATAATTAATGATACCAAAAAACAATTTAAATGATAATACGCTCAAAATATTTGACAATTTTTTAGGGAATCAAACATGTTAGTATATATACATATATATATATATATATATATACATATATTTTATTTAATATATATACATATATTTTATTTAATTTAGATTTCGTAAAATCGTAAGCTATCAATTTCAAAATGATCAAGAATAATGTTTTAATTAAAAATAATTTTTTATAATTTTTATAATAATATCTTAATACAAAAGATTAAAACTATAATACTAATAATTTAAAAATTAAAACAAATAATAATTTATAATAATAATTTATAAATTAAAACAAATTACAGCTGCGCATTAAAAGCTAACGTGGAAAGAGATAACGTTAAAATGACCGATTAGTCCTATCATTTCAACAAATTGTTTTCAACGTTGTATATATTTAAAAAAAATATCTTATCGTTAAATCTTAATAATGTTATCGCTTTCACAAGTTAAAATTCATCATTTTTATTTTTAAAAATGAGAATATATACGCTCATGATTTTATCTAGATCTATATTTTTATTTAATAGTAGATAAATCCCGTTGTCAATTTTCATACTTATTTTTTAGATATCCGCTCAAAATATTCTACAGAATAAATTATATTATTCTGTTTTCTATTTCTGTAAAACGATGCGTTATGACTGCTAAAGAGATCTATGCATTTTCACGATCTAGTCAATGTTTCTCATTCGTTTGTCCGCAAAAGGAAACGAATGAATGAATAAATCACTCGTAGTGCTCGGAGACAATTAATTGGGGGAATTAAGCATGGAGAAGACCAAGTGCTAGTTGATTAATTGGTTAATTGGAGTATAAAAATTTAACAATACATGCAAACACATGTGAACTCGAGAAAGAAAGAAAAAAATGTGAATTAATAGAACCACAATTCAAGATTAAATAATACATCTACATGTTATTCGCTAACATTTTTTTCCAAGTGATACAAATAATAATTATATCTTTATAAATTGTATTGCATCGCGGAAATGCTTTTCAGAAAGGCGGCGCGAGTTGTTGTTTGAATAAGAGTTTTTTATTGTATTCATAACTGTTTGATCCATGCTCGTTTGAGGTGCTCCACGTAATTGTTATGCCTATCGACGCTAATTGTAACTCTGACTGGATGTTACTTGTCCGTGACCGCCCACGTGTCAGTATTTACACGCCGACCACTCGGGGGTACGTCGCTTCCCCGGACAAGTGATAGAAAGTGGTCGCATTGTCGTACCGCCACGTCCGACTACCCCCGTCGGGGGAGAGAGAGGGGGGAAGGGAGGAGGGAGGAGGAAGGAGGGGAAGAGGGGCGCGGTGACATATGTGGAAAACCGCATATCCTGTCAACCGTCGACCATCTGCTTTACATACTGACTTCCGGCGTCGACAGAAACTTTGAAACGTACACAACTTTCTCTGGGTCGCGGGATTCTTCAACTCTCATAATTCTCTCTTTCTCCCCCCTTTCCACCTTCTCTCTCTCTCTCTCTCTCTCTCTCTCTCTCATAATTCCATGAATTTTTATCTCCTTTTCTTTCTCTTTCATCTCTTTCCACGAATCCTTTGACGATGCGCAAAGGGATGGCACACTCGACATGATAACATCTCGCGTGTTGGAAATATTGTATCATTATCATATTATAACCGTTGGTATTGTCTTGCTGCTTCACTCGTTGTTAATATCCTGTTCTAGATACGAAAGTGCTAAGTAACGGTATAAAAAGACAATAAATAATTAGGTAAATTAGGTAAATTAAGACAGACAAGTAAGATCACCCTGACCTGAATATAAAATTATTCTTTCGATACCAAATAATTACAAATTATGCAACGTTCGCCATGTTTTTCTTCCAACTCATCCGAGACGCTCCTCTTCCCTGTCGCCGACAGTAAAGGATCGTTTACATTTAGGAGACAGGGTGGAAATGCGATTTTTTTTCTTATTTCTATTTGCCGACCTCTCGACGGCGCTCTCTTTACGAGGAAACGGAAACTCGATACGGTCCCTTTGAAAGATCATGATTCCATTCCTCTCGAATTGCTCCTTTTCCAGCCGGCGAAATGTAACTTTAAAAACAGCGACGCATGTTTTGGCGCGAGGTGAACGTAAATTTTTCAAAGAACTTAATGCAACGTCGTTAAAAAAAAAAAAAAAAAAAACCAACCAAGGTAATGCAATTCGATTGAATTTTGGCGTTTCAGAAGCAATTTTTCGCTTATATTCTATTTTCGATTTCACGGTTGTTCATGAGCCGTTAAATTACATGGCGCAAGGATTGACAAGAAGTCGACGGTCGATAAATAACACCATATGATAATTTAAGCGTTTCCGCGCTGAATAACGTAAGAACAGATCACGGAGTCGTTCGGTCGTTTTTACGAGGCGCGGAAGAACAGAGAGAAAAATGAGGTGCACAAGGAAAGAAAGCGAGTCCACAGTGAGACGGGAAGGGGATCCTCAAATGGACGTAACGAGTTCCCGGCAGTTTCCCGGTTGCTTCTTGCTGCCGTCCACCCTCGCGCTTACTCTCTTCTCTCTTCCGCCCTCACTCTCGAAAAGCAGC